CAAATACACACAGGCTTCAGCCCATTTCAACATATAGACAACATTCCTTCTTTTTATGCGGAGGATGCGAGTTCATAAGAAATTGGGAATTTCAGATCGGCACAATGCCTTTAGATGGTTGTCCTTCTACTAGTGTGGAGGGCAGGGGGAGGAACCACAATTAAGCACTCTTAAAAAGATCAGAAGCTATGCAATACTCTCTTTATATGAGGCCTGTGTTTTATTATCCTTGACATATACAAATTCCTAAAAATTTTATCATATTCAAAAATCATATGCTGCAAACTGAGACATTATTAAATACTGACATTAAGACATAAATTTGCTAAAAAGCACATCTGATACTCAAGACCTAACATCCAGTTTTAAGTCTCTGAAGTGAAGCATTATGAAGATCACCCCTCAACAAAATTATTATGATGTGATTTTTAATTACAGGAAAGCAAAGAAGTCATTTAGATTTTACTGTTGTTCCCTGCAAAATGTGACAAACCACAACTGAAAACTCCCTTCAAAGTTTATCAGGCAAATAGGTAAAACATTTTGACTCAAGTGATTTAAATTCAGCCTAAGTGAAAACACCAAAAGTAGGCTTTTAGTACTGATTAAAGAAATCAACACCCATTTTACATACAATTTGTAATTTTCATATTATGATATTGCCAAAATAAAACTACCAACCAACTCCAGCTGACAGCTCCACAAGCAGCGACTAGCAGGCTAAAATCACCTGATGAAACACCAGAAGTGACAGTGCTTCTGGATTTCACTGTAAAAGATGCAGCGGGAGCGCCTGTGACTCTCCTCCCTTATTCTGAACCATCAAATCTCTTTTCTCAATCTCTCTTCTCCTCTACTCCCCCCGTTCTTACATTTTAGCCATACTGGGTGGAGTTGCTTCCCAGCATTTTTTACAGGGAAAGCAGAACCAAGGACTCTTGATTCACATTCTTTTGTGGTTAATGCTTTCTTTCACTATCTCAGGAAACCATCTGTAAAGCAGACAAAATACTGTCCAATGCTACTAGATGTTAGAAAGCTTAGCTGATCATCTTTACATAGGTTGAGAAAGGTTCTCGGATGAAAGGTGCTATATTTGAAGATTATTATCTGTACAAATGCCTACACATCACTTAAAAGTAACAAGCACCAAACTGCTACTGATAGGAAAGAAGAATATAGTTAAAAAGAGTACTCCTCAACCACTAGATACAGTCCAAACAGAAGAGAAAGTAATTCCCTTTTTTTCCTAGTACAGATCTAAAAGCATACTTTGTTTTTTAAAGGTCACTCTTAAATGCCCAAAAGTTATGGAATGAAGTGTTTCAGTTCAGGTGACATCACTCTGCAAGTCATCAACTTCTTCTTCCTCCTTGGTATCCATTATGAAGGATTTGCAATTTGTTCCTGCTTTTCCTCTGTTCTTCATTAAAAGGATATGCAGAAAAAGATACAAGGGTTATTTACAATGACTCTCATAGCCACTATCTTATCTCCTGGAAGTGAACTAACATAGGAGAGATGGGAGGGATGTGACCAAGCTGACCATCTTTGAAACACAGAACTTCATTGTTTAAAGGATTTACATCAGGAAAAGCCACTCATGCTTAAAATTTCACTTGGTATGTATCCCCACAACTGCCACCATTCTGGCAGAACAAGGCCACATGTAGTTACAGTGCACAGATCCATGTGCAAAGCACAAAGCCACAGTCGATAGGCATGCTCTGTCCATGTAAGAGACAGCAAGCACAGGTATTTTTATTCAATGCCCAGTGAGAAAAAGTGGTGCAGCACTGTACAGCACAGGACCTCAGGTGCTCACTGCCCAGAGCACTTACACAGGGCATACAAGACTCAAGTTCTGGGTTCTCTGCCTGTGGACAGTGACCGTCCCACGAGGATGACCATACTGCCAGGGGCGTGCTCTGCCTCTCACTGAAGCTGTGACACTCTGAAGAATTGTAATCAATTGCAAAAATGTCCTAGTGAAATAGAGGGGAGGGAAAAAACACCAGGTGCTGTTACTAGAGAATTGACCTAGGACAACAATCTCAACAGTATTAGTTCTGGCTTCTGTTCCCAAGATCACTTACCTGTCTCTAAGTCTTGTCTGTGGAGCTGCCCGTTTTAAGATAACTAAGCATCAAGAATTCCTTGTTCTGCTCTTCACAGCAAGGTCTGGAATTCTACACTACTGTCAGAAACTAAGCATCGTTAAGCTGATGCAGTTATTAGTACACCACTACTGTTTTGCAGTGTTGCAAAATTGTAAATCTTACTGAAGAAAGAAAATTAAAAACTTTTTTCTTAATCACTACTTTAAATATATTCCATATCAACAAGTAGCTTACCAAGCATTTAGATCCCAAATCTGACCCTTCTCTGCTTACATAAGAGTTTATGGGCACAAGTAATACGTAAATTTACCACACAATAGCAACTGAAGGAAGTGACTGTATGAAGCAGTCCCACTATATCTTCCACAAATTAAAAATAAAAATTACTATGCACTTGGAAGCATGTCAGCAAACAGCCCTGATAGCCTTTGACAGTAGTCATTTATGTCATGGAGGCCAAAAGCCTTTTTGGAGTCCTGTACCTACAAGGAAAAGTGCTATTTATCACCAGATGCCTCAGATGATTCCAGAAACAGCCTCTTTCCCATTGCTGTTCATTAGCAGCAGCTCTACGAACTGAAACAGATTTTTTTTCCAAGAAAAACTTCTACAGGATGTTCTAAAAAGCTTAAACTGTTCCTTTAGGAAATCAACCCAGCAACCCAACCATCATCCACACAGACTGCCTAACCCTATTCCACATAGGAATGCATTTGTTTCATCGCTGAAAGCCCTGACAAAAGGAACTGAAAGTTTGCCAGCCACCTCAAGATGTTCACACAGATGTTCACGTGTTACAGTAACTCAATTTCAATTCTACACATACTTCACCCAACCCACATAGAGCAGATTTTTCACTTTTTCATTCTACAAAGATCAGTAGTAAAAGTAAAAAATGGAACCCTTAATAAAACCAACACTTTCAAACTTCAAAACATGGTTTAAATACACAGCAACTGCTTTATAAAAGAAGCACGGATAAAGAATGGAGAGATAGGTCCATTAGTTTTGGAGCTTACAAATAAGCAATGATTTTAAAATCCACACAGCTTTCTTTAATTCAAAAAGATGTTTTCTAGAGCATTGTCTATGCATACATAGAATAAATAGTAAGAATAGAAAAGGAGAAACTACTTCAGTTATGATTCCCCAACTAGCTACGAAAATGATAGTTTGGTCCAACTGAAAATACTATCCTTCTTTCACAAGGAAAACTCCAGGTCTTTAGAACCAACTTACACCTAGGGTAAATGCTGACCTACTGATGAGCCTTCAGAACTGCAACATTTTAGAATATTATCTCCATGAATATTGACATTTAGTTCTACATGATCATATCTATATTGTAGAGACAAAAAAAAAAAAAAAAAAAAAAAAGGATGCCCATGCGCTGATATTGTCTTTATAAATACAACTTTAAAGGAAAAAACCCAACGTGCATTAAACTCTTCTTTGCAAATATTGTAAAGATTATAACACATAACACAAAATGCATGAATATGCACACTTCTACACAATTGTTAACTCACTGGGAAAAAAAATTAATTCCTTAATTGCAAAGCAACCCCTAACTATTCCTCCACTGATCAGGATTTTAGATTTGCTATGGAACTTCCGAGTTTCGTTAAGCCCTTGGAATTGAATTTTGAAGATCTATGTAAATCCTGGATTACACAGATCTTCATTAAGGTATGCCGAAGCATACAGATTACATAGATACCTTCATTAAGGTATGCAGAAGTCACTGCAAAATATCTAAGCTCTAGTCCCCAGATGAGGCTGCCAAAATTTAAATTCATTTAGAATGGATAACAGAAGTGGGATGAGTACTCATGATTTACACACAAAACTCAGAGATGAGTTTAGAACTCAGATAGTTAAAGTGGTGACACCTAAGGGACTTGGGAGTAGAAGAGAAAAAAAATTACTCAATCACACAGTAAGTTCCCCTAGAAAATTTAGAGAAACCAATGACATGTACAAAAATCAAATATACTTTTTTTTGAGTAAACATTTGGCAAGCAATAGAAGCACAGATCATTTCACATTACATAACCTTCAAGCAAATACTTAAAAATATACCCTCAAAACTAAGATTAAATTCCAGTGGTTTGATTTTACCTCACACACACCAAATAAAAAATAAATCTTGCAATAGTTGCAATAAATCACAAAATCAAATTCTGAGGACAGAATAATTTGAGGTTAGATGCAGATTGTCAGCACCATCACTGCAGTATTAAATTTTTAAAATTATACCTATACACTGTAATTACTTACCCAAGCAGCTATACATGAAACAGAAGTACAGTAGCATCTATAAAAATCCTTTGTAGTTACACCAGATAATGCATATGATATACACCAGATAATGAAGTATGAAGAGAACCTTCAAAACTCTCAAACTGCACATCTTTTCATAAACTGCACTGTTACAGCTGGACACTCAGGTGTATTTTTGCCAGTTGAGCAACACTTGGTGTTTCTTGCCAACAAAGTCTAATAGCATCACTAAGTTTTAGGACATGGTAAAAAAGTAAATCACTGTTGCATATCAGTGCAGTTGCATGTAGTTAAAAAAACAGATGAGGAAAAGGAAAAAAAACAGGAGGGGACAGTAACAGCAAGGGAAGAATAATGACTCTAAAAGGAATACAAAGGTGAACTTTGAAGACTTTTATTGTATCATTCTGCTAATGTCTGTCTCATTTCTACACCAAGCTTATATACCTTTAAAAATTATTTCACTTCCTTATGTTGTTTCTTATTAATAATATAAGGAAGCTTAACATGACTTAAATTTTTGGGTGCTAGTCATGCTCAGAAAAATAAAAAGAAAAAGTAACTTTAAAATTCTTAGCAGATTACATGAATAATTACCCATGCCAGTTCCAGCTGGTGCAATCTCTTTGGAGAAGATTTCTACAGCTTCCCTTTGTTTATGGTGTACAGCAAGCCAAATGACAGCTTCCCGAGGTCCCTGCTTTAAAAAGGTTGATATTAGATTAGCTTAGATGCAGAACATTGGTTAAATTTACAAAACTGAAAAATAACTGTAGCTCGGTATTTGAGTTCAATAATTCAGTGACTTATTATCCACCATCACTACAATTTGCTGTTAACTTTTCATTTTCTTTATTTTGAAATATCATAGAATTAACTATTGTGTATTTCAAGGCACTAGGGCACTGTGCCTTTTCTCCAGCGTTCTGTAAGAATCAAGTACTGTAACGAGCAATACCAAATACTTGGCTTCACTGTCGGTGGAACTGGCAAACAAACCTTGCTCTTATTCTAAGTGCACTGAGAGTGCTCTGGGGCCAAGTTAGAGAGCCAGGTTCACTTCTCTTAGCATCAAGAAGGAAGCAGATCTGTCCACAGAAAAGAATTCAAACCTAACACTTGGGAGATAAATGTGAGAACAGAACTTGTAAAAATCACCATGTTTTCAGAGAGAAGAGCAGATGCTCCCTCTAAAGATAAACCAAATGTGCTCCCTACTCTAGTCAAAACACCTGTCCCTACAGATAAGCAGTCTCTCATTTCAAGTTTTACTTCTCCAAAAATTCCATTTTCAGCCACTGAAGGATCTACTATTGGAATTAATACACAAAAAATATGCAGCCATATAACAAACCCCACAAATGCACAATTTTAACATTCAGTGTTCCCAAAGCTATCACAAGATTCATTAAATTACTACAAATAATGACCAACCAGAAATATTCTTGCAAAAAAAAACCCATATTCATGCATTCACATCTGCTTTCTGGTTCTAACTACCATATAATCAACACTCCATTTAAAGTTCCATGTTTACCTCCTTGCCTGCAAATGAAAGATACAATGGTCTATGAAAATAAGCTGAATCCTGTTTTGAGTGGATGAATCCAGTACTAAAACTGGGTATATATACAGGCTGAAGCAATTAATCCTACAGTATCAGAATTAAAACAAAAAAACCCAGCAAAACAAAGTCTGAACAATGTCTTTGAAATCAACTAACAAACAGTTAGCAGAAAACTAACAGAGCACATATAGGTTTTATGTAGCAAACTCCAATGCCTGATGTACTATTAAAAAATAGCTTACATGAAACACACCCCAGATTTCCAAACCACACAATCACTGATGCTGTGACACTGTCATAACTCCTTCCTCCCCAACAGAACAGAGGATACTAAATACCAAACACCACAAAAATTACTCAGTGCTGATTCAGGTCCCTTTCTAGCTCATGCTGGGCTGGTGCTGACAAAGCAAGCTATCAAGAGTGACAAGGAGCAGCCATGTCCACAGGCAGAGAAGTCTGAGAAAAAGAAGTGCTTGCCACTCTTTCCTATTGCTCAAGATATTTTGTGTTGTCAGGAACAGTCAATGCTCCACACAGCAGTTCAGACTACAGGCTTACCTAAGGCTGGGAGACACAGGGATTTCACAGCTGCAAAGGCTAACCATTGCACCAGTTTGACAGATGTGCATGGGAAGAAGTCTAGCTAGCCACACCATATATCGACACTGAGCTCCAAATATCGTTCAGCTTACCCTGTCTTGATACTCACTTACGTATTTGTTTCTTTGCTTCAAATTTAGGTGATAGAACTTTCAAAGGAGGAACTATTTTCCTTATGTGTTAATATACTGCCTAGAACAATATGGCTCTGGTTATGAGTACTATGATTTGTAATCCAAATAACCAGGTCTAAGTTTGCATGGGAAGACAAGGTAGGAAAGAGTGTTTAACTGACTACATTATCCCTACCTGAAGGTCCAACAAGGAAATGTTTTCCTTGGGATTCTATGGCTTTGTATCTTAAATAGAAAAGCAAACTCCTCTCCCCAACCCTTTTCCTCGAACTACCACGGCTGCTTTCCAGATGAAAGCTCCCCTGGCTAGTTTCTTCTAAAATGCTGGATGAGCATGAAGAGCAATAGAGCAATTTCCTGTATTTCAGCCTTAGCTCTGACATCCTGTTTTAGGCATGGATGAGAAGCACATACAATGGTGACAACACTCTGTTTACTTTTAATATAAGACTTGAGAAATGAGGCTGGAAATACAGAAAGTACTACAAATACTTTAATTTAAAATTTTTATTTAATGTACTATAAGCAAGGCAAACTGACTAATCAGGAGGGCGAAACTGCTCTACTTCAACTCATTATTCAATTTGTACAATGAGACAGAAAACTTCCTATACAACAATTCAATTGAGGAATATATTACAATGCACAATAAGGCATTGGTACAAACAGAACACAGACAAGCTGAACATCTGGAACATCTGTTCCTATGTTTCAGATTTTGGATTCTGCACTCTTAGTAAGACACTTAAAATTGCAGGTTTTATGGTCCTGAAATGAAAGAGACCACATTACAAAGCTCAGTCTTCAGGAAGCAACTCTTGCTGCTTTGATGAAGGAAATTGAAGCTCAAGCACCGAAACGAATACCTGCAGATATAACTTGACCAGTATCTAAAAACACTCAATTTCACTAGTCCACTGTCCTTCTCTACACCACATTCACATTTCCTTTAGATACAAGCTGTTGGATAAAATGTCGGCACTCATAAGAACAAACTCAGAGTTGAGTTTTGCCACGTGTACCTTAAGAGTTTTGCAATACTGACACTGACAAAGAAGAATTAAATGCTACTGTTTTGGAACAAACTAAACTGTCTAAATATTTAAACTGTATCTAAGTGAGGACATGATTTACAGTCTTCTTCCTTTAAAAAAGACTTTCATTCTCTAGATTAGGAAAACAGACCATGGATATCACAGCTGCAGTGGCTTTGGCCATCATTCATATTCTTACATGTGCACTCACAGTGCAGAATTATATAGCTGAAGATTATTTCTGAAGCAGTACTCACAGACAAATTTAAACTTGTGCAGGCAACATTAACGCTGAGATTTCCTGATTGTAATATTTATAATGTGGTCTTCTTGCACTACATCTAATGCAATTAAAGTCTATGCCACGGAAGTTATTATAATAAGGTATTTCTTTAGGAGACCACCAGAACAGAGCACAACACCAACTCTTACAAAGATTTTGTAAGATTTTGTGTCAGCTTCTGGAATACCCAATATTGCAAAGACCTTGTCACTGTTAATTTTGTACATTAAATAGTGACAGTGAGTTCTTTGCAACATGAAGGGGTGAAATTCCCAAGATGATAATGACTTCCTTTACAGTTGTGGAAAAGATAACAATATGGAAAGATTAAAAGAGGTCAGTAAAAGTTTAAGAACACTCCACTGCATACTTACACCATCTATACTCCTTCTAGCATGAGGTCCATATGTATCTTCAGATCCCAAAACCTGTATGTTAACTGCACTGTAATCTTCATATCCAAGCTGACTGAAAATAAGACGAGTCCTGCAACAAATTATTTTTTAAATTAGTAAACTGGCTCAAAATGATTATCTGAAGTAGCCCTGCATGGTCCACAGAAGTTAACTCTGTCAAGCGGCTGGAGAAAAGATTTTATCAGTTGAAATATTGGAATTTTGTTAGGATATATATTTTGCTTGGTGGAACAAGCAACATTTTTTGCTTTGATGGAATATTTCAAACACATTGCTAATGTCTCATTGTTGTCATAAATATAACCACAGCACCTGAAACAGTGAAGCAATGTACAGTACATTAATACAAAATTCAATTTTTAATTGCTGTAAAGAGATGGAAAGGTGTTAATGCATTAGAAATGAGTCCACCTTTATTTCTGATGAGATAAAATAAATAAGAACCTCATTTTAAGTTAACTAAATTTGCAAACTGTGTCTGTACTAAGTTATTTTAAATTACTTATCTATCAACATTACAGTTACAGATACTACAGTTCAAAACACATTCTGCAGGTCATTTTTAGCCCTTTCATGTGTTAGTAATGCAACAGAGAATCATGAAAGTTAAAAGGACACCAGAGACTACTTCAAAAAGACTTCACACACATATTGCCAAATGGCTTCTTCTTGCAATAATGAATAAACAAGTAAAGAAGTACACAAGAAAGAAGCAAAAGAAGTCATCTTACAAGCTGCCAAAGCTGCTCAATGTCTTAGGCTAACAACTAATATGACCTGCATAAAAGAAGCACATTAAATTTGTGCACCTTTTCCTGCACTTGTTGCCACTAAAGTACTGGAGAGAACTTAACCTAGAACAGACTGGAAGCTGGGTAGCTGAAAGATCTCATCCTTCGAATATTCTCTTGAAACAGAGACCCGGACAGGCTCGATCAATGGCCTGAAGGCAACTGCATGAATTCACTCAGTCAGGCAAAACGCTGGGTCCTGCACTTGGGTCACAGCAACTGCAGGCAGCACCACGGTCTGGGTCAGAGTGGCCCGAGAGCTGCTTGGCAGAAAGAGACTTTCGGGTGCTGGCTGACAGCTAGATGAACGCGAGCCAGCCTGTGCCCAGGTGGCCAAGAAGGCCAATGGCATCCTGGCTTCGATCAGCCATAGTGTGACCAGCAGGACCAGGCAGTGATTGTCCCTCTGTACTCAGCACTGGTGAGGCCACACCACAAATCCTGCATCCAGTTTCAGGCTCCTCATTTTCAAAAGAACACCGAGGTGCTGGAGCATGGCCATAGAAGGGCAATGAAGCTTGTGAAAGGTCTAGAAAACATGTCTTACAAGGAATGGGTAAGGGAGCTGGGGTTGTTTAGCCTGGAAAAAGGCTAGACATGAAAGGAGGGTGTATTGAGGACGAGGCTGGTTCCTTCTACTGCGCCTGCAGTGAGAGGAACAGAGGAAATGGCCTTAAGCTGAGACAGGGAAGATCCAGATAAGGTATTGGAAAAAATATGTCCACTGTTCAGGCTGTCAGGCATTAGAGGAGGTTTCCCAAGGAGGTGGTGAAGTAACCATTTCTGGAGGTGTTTAAGAGATGTCTGGATTTATCACTGGGGGATGTGATTTAGGGATTATAGTGATGGAGCTGAGCTGATGGTTGGACTCGGTGATCTTAAAGGTCTCGTCCACCCTTGACAACTCTATGGTTTTATAAACAGAAACTGGTAAAAAACTGATGTCAATGTTTCTGAAAGAGTTATAGTTGCTGATAGAGCATTCTTTGAGAGGGATCAGAACAGCTTAATTCTTATTCTCTATCTGGGCTGACAAACACCAATTTTTTCATGTGTCAAAGAAACAATTCCACATATTAAGGTGTTTAAGACTACATTTGAGATACAGAATGTGTTTTTGTATATTATAATTTTGTATATTATAACTTTGCCCACAAGCATGCCTAATGGGATAGAAGCCACTTCTCTTATCAGTTAATCAGCCTTCAACTACCTCTCATAAGCTTTCCTCTGATTATTCAAGAGAGCATAGTATACAGGCTGAATTAACTTTCTAGATGTCAGAGATAGCAGCAGCGCTACAATCTGTTTCAAAGACTCACATAGTCCAGTGTGAAATAATGTCCAAGAGCAAATATGAAATGGAAAACACAGCATTCTATTTTTTCCTAAAATAATCACCTAGCTTCCAGAAAGATGGCTTTTTAGAGGTTCTGAGTCTCCAAGTCTTTGCATTTACCACTTCCTGAAGTTTTTCCATAACATGATTTTCTCAATAGCTCTTGGACATGAGCTTTTAGCATTTGCAATTACACTGTCCCTATCAGCCTGCTCTTATCTGCCATATCTCTTGAGGGAAATCATACAACTCCTCCTTCCCCACAGTGCTGCACACAGCCACACGAAGAATCACTCCAAGTAAACCTTGGATTTCTGACTTTCCAAGTGCAGTTTTTCCATGGGTCTACAAGAGGATGGGGAGGAAGCTTTATATAAAACATGGGACAAGGAAATCGATCTCTTAACTAGAAAGACTGAAGCTACTGGAATAAGCATTGAGAGACTCCTGATATGGAATTATATTTAAGAGGAATTCCTCCTTGCCCAAATATACTGGCATGACGATACAACTGCAAGTTTATCACTCTGTCTTGGAATTGTAACTCTGTTCTAGGAAAAAAACAAAAAACGATCACTGAGTCACATTCTAGAAAGTGTGTTTAAAACACAAATTCAGTCAACTTCCTACATTTCATTATCAGTAAGACTTTTAATAAAAAAAGTTCTGTTAAAGTTGCTGTCAACTAGTTTCATATGGGTTTATCTCTGGCATCTAATAAAATTAAATCTCAATCACATCTTGTTCCTCACTAAATTGGGTTTCTCTCCAGCCATCTCTTTTCAAACCTATTTGGCACTCTTCTCACTCCGTCAAACCTAACTGAAGTGCAGTTACAGGCTGAAAACAGGTTTCTTGAAAAGGCCACTTAAGTCTTGAAATATCATCCCAACACAAAACCTATAATCCTCTAAGATTCTTAGAAGGTCAGTAATGTTGCCATTATGTGTCACTGTCCCATTTTCATCACATCTGGGGAAAAAAGAAAAGCAAGCCAGAACCCCTTCCAGGACTCAAATACCAACCTCTGCAGAATAGCTTCTGCAGTGCGCTTTGCTTTCTGTACTGCCTTTGGGCCTCCCACTGGACAGACAGCAGTAGCTCTGAAGCCATCAAGATAAGTGGCATTTACCTAATGATAAAAGGATAACAAAATTACACGGAATTCAGTACTGATAGGCTATAAATGCTCTCTGGCAATCATTATCTATACGAATACACACTTTGTAAACAAAGTAACAGGTTTTTACGTATAAAATAAAGTTAGCCTTTTCAAATTTTCCACCTCTTTCTTTTACCTTTGGGGCAGAGAAGATGAGGATAGTGCTAAGTTTTAGCATTGTCTCCAAAATTTAACATTTTTTAAAATCAAACTATAACTTCCATGCCACAAAATGACGTAATACCTTATAAAATGTTGAAGGAGGCAATCCTTTTGCTCCACAAACTTTCACTGCTCCACCATCAAAACCTACAGAGGTTAAAAAAATCAGTATTTCAGTTTCTTCAATATAACTTCAAATCCAGTCTTTTGTGACACATATTAATCAAATGCACTTAATTAAAAAGCAAATCACCGATAGCTGTACTGCTGCAGAAGAGAGAACCTTTCAGAAAACAGTCCTTCCTGCCTTAGAAAGAACAGCAGCAAACTGGTGACTGAATTTATGTCTGCCATGAGCCTTTTAAAACAGCGATCAAAATGTTTATTCGTGCACTTAAAAAATACTTAACAAAGAAAGCAGCCTTAGGACATTAGACTCAATAGTTATTTTCCTCTTAATATCCAGTTATTGCACACACACAGAGCATATAATTTACTGCAGCTGCAGTATATTATAATATATTATATAATTCACAGCTGGCTGCAGTGGACTGCAGTCCCTTCACTTGGTAAAGAATCAAATCAAGATGAGAAACCAGTGAGAGCTATTGGTTGAGAGCTTAGTAAGTGAAGGGTACCTTAACTTTAGCTTTTGTTTTTTCAATAAAGAAACAGTATGAATATATGTTCCAGGGCAAAAACCATGTTCAGTATTAGGAATATTAAGGCCAAAAAAAGAAGGCAGAAAATTGCTGGGGATGTTATAAGGGTCAAGCTTGAGCTAGAGAAAAATCAATAGGTGCTACTCCTTGAAAATCAGCAGTGCAGGATTGGCGCCTCATGTTTTAGAGCCAGAATTACAGTGTAGTTCACCTGTGCCTAACCTGTGTTTGCAAATATTTAACAAGCAGTCCAAAGCTTTATACAAATACTCTGAAAATATCAGATCAGAACATATCTAAAAAAGTAAATGTCACTAGTACAAATTTTACACACCACTCAAATAACATCATCACTGTCTCTCAAGTCTGACATGAGGTTAATTTAACTCTCTCAACATAGAGGTGAAGATCTGGAGAGTTTTATGTTCCAGGTGAAAGCGTAGTACAAAACAAATACCACAAAACCAAATGCAAAGCATCCACGGACAAAAAGAAAATAAGCACCTCTCAGCTCAAACCCTCCAAGTAATCCAGGAGGACAATAAAACTGGCAGTATAAACAGCAAAATTAGATAGCTTGCCTGTTTTTACTGGTGTACGTGTCAAAGCACTTAAAACTAAAATATTTAAGCAATCTGCCCATTTTCCATCTGTTATATTTCTAAGAGGACTAACTGAAAGTTCATGTGGAAGTTCATTTTAAGTTCAAACATGTCATATCAGGTCATTTGCAAGCTAAAAGTTCATAGGAAGGTTAGAGTTTCTTTTTTTAAAAAGAGAAAGACTAGGGGCTAAGAGCAGCAAGCTGACCTTATCAGACTGCCGTTTGGTTATGTTGCATGAGCAGAAGATTCACTGTACCATGTTATGTACTTTTTTACTCAAGCAAGATATTTTTTATGTTACCACATTTTCAGTTTTATCCCAGTACGTTTTTAATTTGAGATTTCGATTGTTCTAAGCTTTAGAAAGACACCTGGCATTCTGTCACAAGTAAGTTTCATTAGAAAGAAAAAAATAGAATATAGATCCAGTAAAAGGCAAATTTTAGATGACTGTAGATATTTTTTAAAAATCATCTTACTCAAATTACAGCTTTTTGAATCTGTTAAGCCTGGAGTTTTTTATTTTCCTTTTGAAGCTAAATTCTGAACATACATTAGATCCATTTTTAGTCTACTGGCTGTTAAGTATTTTGAGGACTGCAAATGGATTTTTAAAAAAAAACGATTCTCTGGTGGAAATCTTGTACCTAATCAATCATTCTTCAACCGTGATCCACCTAAATGTCTAAGAAAAATGCCATTACCAAGTAGTGCTTTGGAAGACACAGCCTTTCATTGTTACCAACACTTCAAATGCCCTAAGTAAAACCATGTACAAAATATTTTTTTTGAGAAAAGAAATTTAGTTGCAGTTTAAAAAAGCACTAAAATCACAGTGAAGCTGACTCAATAATGTTCACACTGAATACACAGTTTAAGGAATTGACAGGTGCAAGATATCCATTAAAAAATAAAGCAAAAGGAGCAATGATCGAAAATATAAAATAGTCAACCAGCAAGATAAAAAGGCTTGCATTTAAAATTTCTAAAGGAATTTCTAGCAGAAGTCTTTGAACATATCAGTTTAATACAGCATGACTCTAAGGAACTGATTTAATAAGAAATATGCAGAGACTACATGGAAATTAAAGTATCTGCTTCTGTTTTGATAACACACTTCATTGACACAGATATCTTTACATGAAATAGGACTAACCTGGAATTTCTGTGATAGAAACCTGGGAAAAGTCACATGTAACATCTGGTAAAAGATAGCGCTGAGGATTGCCCAATTCATACAACAACTGCTCAGCTACAGTGCCAAAAGAGATTAGTCCCCCTGTGTCTGGTGGCTTGGAAAGAATGAAGTCTCCTTCAGAGGAACATTCTACAATGGGAAAGCCTATGTTGTGCCTAGAATACGAAAAACATTAAGGAAAAAAATCCTATAAATACAAAGGGAAAGTGAAAAGAAATATTAACAACACACCAGAATTTCACAGTAACAAATTAACCCAATTAAGTAAAATCTGTCAAGAGTTACGATTTATCCGCTTGTTTTGACAGAAACATACACTAAAACAGAAGCCCTGAACAAACTGTTGAACTAAAATAGTACAAGGATGTAGTCTATTGTCTGTCAAAGAAATGCAGATATAACAAGAGATACCACCTGCAAACATGGATGAAGGGAAGGGAATGGAGAAGGACATCAAGAGAAACACTTCAAGTAAAAAGAAGCTGAAAGAATTAGAGGACTATGATTAAAGATGTAAATTTAGAATAAAATAAACCATGGCTAATTCTAGCCCCATTTGGCAACAGCAGCACACACAACATGACAGTGAAGACATCTAAATACATCTTGCACTCTGGATTTGTAAAAAGGCAGTCAAAGAAGGAAAAACAGAAATAATCACACCTACAAAGGATAATTTCACATGTTAATAATTCTGAAAACAGAAAGACATATGAAAGTAAAGATCTTCAACACACAGAAGACAGAACAGAAAATTACGAAAAAAGCAGTGAAATTATGGACATGTTCATAAATTAAAATATTCTTCTTCCTCCTCACATTCTTGCAAGCAAAATATACAAAAAGTGATCAAATAACTCATAGTAAGAAGCACATACTGGTCATTACAGTAGCAGGGCAGAGTTTTCAGGATTATGCGGATAAGATCCAGACATCTGCTATTCTAGCTAAAAGGTTTTCATTTATTTTCAGAGAATTTGAGCAAAATTAAGGACTTCAAACTCTTCAGAAATAGCTGAGAATTAAAATTAAGAGTGCAAAGATTCTTCTGAAAAGTCTACCTGGCTCCCTTCCTTATCACAGGATGCCCAAAATTTGTACAAGTGTCCCACAAAATAAAATGAATACAAAAAGAGGAGTTAAGGAGATACAGTCCCTTGCAGAAGCTAAACTGTTCTAAAAGGGCCCTTATAATGAAAGGTGGTGAACTTCACCATTCTCATTAAAGCCAATGACCTTCAGGTCTTTCATACAAACTTAAAACCAGTTAATCCCTCCATTTAATTATTTTTGGGTGGTAGCGGTAACAATGTGCTGAACATACAACTGAATTGGTTATCAGCAAAGGTTACACGAACACAGTTTGTATAACATAAACCCATAAAGTCTGAAAGAAAGTAAGCAAAAATACCAGTGAACTCTTAAGGGACATTTCTAAAAGTTCATGGGAGTTTGAGCAGATTCCTTATCATCAAGGATATTCAAACATAACTCCTTTATTTTAAAGAAAGGATTAAGACACAAGATCTATTACCAGAGATCAGCAACTTCTAACACTTATAGCAGACAAATTTAAAAAGTATGGTAGCTGGTGGACACCTAGAAAAACCCACATCAAATCAGTTAAGATAAAACTTCATTTGACTGGTCTTTGAAACTATCTGCACCACTAAAAAGATACAGGAAACAAAAAAAGCCCACCCTGGCAAATGCAAAGAATTGAATGGAATCAACAATTTCATATACAGGGTATTCTAGTGGGGGGGTGGGGGGGGGTGTTGTTGAGGGGAAGCGGAGAGAGAAAAGATGGTAGTAGAAGTATGTAATATTCAAGATTTTGAAGTGTGACATAGAAAACCAACACCCAAAAACCCCTCTAAATTCTTGGTCTGGAACATTAATGTACAGTAACAGACTAATGTGTAATTATCCTCATTTTAGATGCAAGGAGACACACAAGCATAATCATTTGGATCATTTGGCCAGTGGAACAAAGCAGGATCAGTGACTGAATAAGACTAGAATTAAGAAGCTTTTGCCCTCTCAGTATCACGTTTGTGCACTTGACCCTACCACTATCTGTCCTGTAAAGGCAACAGTACCAAGTGCCCTGCTCACAGGCTCAATGCAGCTTATTCAGATCACGTACCCAAAAGAGACACCACTCCCAAAGACCACCCAGAGCAGTCCATCTCCCTGCACTGACAGCCAGTGTCCCTGCTGCAGCCCACTTTGATCCCAGTCAGCAGCACATGCAACTCTTACAGTACTCCCCAGCGATCTTTGTTTTGAAGGAAGAAGTAAACTGTAGACACTCAACTTCCTACTCTGAACCACTGAGTCTACTAACATTGATGCAACTTCATTTTGCCCAACTTGCACCCTAAAAACCCCTAAACCATTGAAAAACAAAACCCAAATAGGACAAAGTGAGAAATTTCACCCCCTAATATGGTCAAAATATGGCAGGATATTGTTCCCCCCTCAAGGTACACTACCACCCAATGAACTTTTCTGTATGGCCAGTTCACTGAAGATGTGTGTTCCCCAGCTTATGCCAGCCCTGAAAGCTTCCCTCGTCTTTTTAATAATTCACAACATAGGGATGCAATGATCTGGGTAAGAAGTCCCTGGATTCTACCTGTATTGTAACTGGATGACTGGGAAAATAAAATACCCAGTACTATCTTATAGCAGATGGCAGTACATACACATTAACACATTAATGCATTAACATACACATGCTTAAGATAAAAACCTATTTTGTAAATTGCTAAAAGACGTTACTTAAAATTAATTTTCACATTGAAAATAAACTGGTCTCTTACTCCTATGATACAGTCAAGTGTCAGCTACTTAAACCTGGCATAAAAAGCTCCTTAGCAGCAGTAGCTGCCTGGCTCAGGTATTCCACAGGCAGTACAGTCACACCATCATACTGACCAGCACCTCCACTTTTAAAATACTGAGTCTTCACCTGATTAACTTGTAGGTTTTGCTGAATGACTACACACCATATGATATCTGCCGTGTGGGGAATATGCCAACCTCAGGTTGTCCATAACTCAATAGCCAAGCTGTACTTTTGTATAGTGTAGCAAGGCAGCAACCACAGAACTATGTATTTTAGCAGCAACTACAGTCATGGCATCCAAAGGTACCTTGGCAAAGTGGCATCCTTCAACAATAACAGAATTGCATCAGTTTAGTGACAAAATCCCTAGGAGGAGGCAGTAGCAAGCAATGGAAACAATTCCAAAAAGGAACTAATACAATTAATTCTAATTAAATTATATAAATTAATAAAATACAGTACTAGAGATAAATATCAAGTACTATTTTAAAAATATTTAAGCAATTCTTTTAGCACAGGGTCAATATAAAGAAGTAATACACATCAATTCGTGGTAGGAGATGACAACTACCATTCTTTAATGCAAAAGGTCCATTTCAGGCTGCATGCTTGCTACTTAGCAAGTAAATATATTATATTCTATATAAATGTATATATAATATAGACACTAATAAACCAGAGCACTGAATGAGACCAAGCTAAGATTACACCTCAGAAAACCCCTCCAAACTGGGCCTAGATAGAAGTTAACAGTTAAAGCAGGTCTTAGTGAAGATTTACAGCACAGGAATAACCAAGTTACAAAACTGGTTTTGCTGCTGAAGCCTTCATCCCATCAACCTTCTCTTGTAGCAATCAAAAATCTGAGTTTTCTGTCAAGTTCTCTGCCTGCCAACAACTTACTCTTGAATTAATTTTTTCCATGTAAAATGTTGTTTTTTCTTCAGCTTTGGCTTTCAGAGATGTTACAGTTTATGGGCATGTCACAGGTGATAAATTATGCTGTCTCAGCAAGGATCTCCTCCCTGTCTATTCTGGGACACTATTCAGAAGCCTCTGAAGAGCCATCAAGACAAACTTCCTCCTTGTTTTGCCATACTTCTCACACTATTTGCATTACAGGGAAAGTAAAATCCATGACCAGTACTTTGGCTCAGGGAGAGAGACATTACTTGAGACAGGACACGTATTTCTCCCCTCTAAAGTGTCAAATCCCTCAAGTACCTTGTTCTAGCCACTACTGCTCAATGAAGATTACTGGCAAGAGAAAATGGGACAGGGAGTGTAGTACAGTTACTTGCAAGGGAAGTTGTTGCAAGAATGAAAACAAAACTCCACAGCAATGCACAGTGGAAGTGAACCAGGATCCAAGTAAGCTCTGGTATGAACTTTCAGTTTTACAGCTAATGCAGTTGCCCGAGACGTGACTCAGTGAATGTCACACCAAGGAGAGCTCTGAGCCAAGCTTCTCAACTCCTTAGGTATGTATTTTAACCAGAATGCTATTAGGCAAAAAGAAGCTCCTACCACTTCTAGCGGTGTTTTCACAACAGGTTCAAAATTGATAATACATCACGGGAGATCAGCACAAACAAAGTAAAGGTATAAGCATCTCTCTACATGTAGGTACCAAAGTGTTTCCTAACATGTAATTCTGCTTTAAGCAAGACTTAGTGATTGCATCACTTCTCCCCTCTGACTAAGGCATTTCAGACTATGTCTTGTACCTCATCTTCTGATGGCCAGAAAATTTCAGGTTAAACAGACCAGCTGCCTGGTGTTCTCAGCTGCCTGGAATAGATGGTGCTACAAAGAAAAAAACATTCCACACTGCTGAATGGGACTTGCATGCTGGATTTTGTCCTAGTCCCAAATTAAGAAATCTGGACCCAGCCCTTAAGAGACTACAGCTATTGACTTACCCTTTTGGTCATCCCAGGCCAGAGGATTATGCAGTCTCAACCATTGTACACTCCTGGCTTAGGGCAAAATGTCAGTGTTTATGATCTCCTCAAAATGATAACTCTACTGATCAGACTTAGTTTATTCTCTCCTGCATTTCAAAACAAAACAAAACAATGTACTAATCACCCACTGGCACTAAATAATATCAAGAGACAATAATGTCTGGGGAAAAATGAAATTAAAAAGAGAGCTGTGAATTATCAATATAGTTCTGGCAGTACAGTTCATTTTCACACATGGCATGAATTCCTCATTGGAAGCTGCAGACTAATGTAATGTCTGCCAACAGACATTAAATAGGGAGCAGTGATGTATTATCACTTCTGCTAACCCTCTGCTGATGTGTATTACTATACAAATAACAAAAAGAAGTGCATTTTTTGATACCACTAACTTAACATCAGCATCAAAGAATGCACAGTACCTTCTATAGACTATGAACTAATGATTTCTTGCACTTTCTCTGCTAAACACCAGAGAATCCACACAAGAGAAGAGTCAAGCACCCACTTTCTCACTGGAAAAATAAACAGCACCTCTCCCCTCTACCTGTCTTCATGAAAACTGGACAAAATCTTAAGTTTCAAGATTGCCACCTGTAAGTCAAATGCACTAAGGAGATACACAAAGCACAAATCCCAGTGCCTTAGGTGAACACAAAGCAAGTAAGTTTGGCTTCTGTCAACTAAAGTAACTTGGGAGAGTCACAAGCTGGAACATGCATTTCAGTTGTTTTGCATTAAAAACTTACTTTAAGGGGACAGCAAAGGAAATGAAAGAATAGCTTAGGTTTTAATAATTAACCATTAAATGCCCACAATATACCCACACAATATTCCTGAGATTTAAAGCACCCTTTTGCAGTGGAATTGAGTTCCCAGAAGTATCTGCATCAAACATTTCAAGAACATTAAAAAAAACCAAAAAACACCCCCCTCCCTCAGAACATCAAAAACCCACCAACTGAACTATGGTGGATGAATAAAGTGGATTCAATCCAGTGCCTCAGTACTCACTGAGACATGATAGTATATGCATAGAATGTAAGCTCTACCTTGCCTGGCTTAATTTAGATTAATTAAAGTACTCTTGTTTACAGAGTTAATTATTTTTGCTTATGCATAAACAATAGACAGATAAGATTTATAAACCTGAAATGCAGCAAATTCTTTGGGTTTTGTTTACAAGTTAGAAAAACTCATACCCATCAGTCCTTAGACGGAAGAGCCACGTGGATTACTGTTGTTGGAGAGAAAAAAACCCCCAAAAACAGTCAAAAAAAAGATCCTGGTTGGAGGCTAATGAAGCTCACCCTCTACAGTAAGGAGTGAGGAGGAGAGAGGCTGCCCTCCAGTGTTCAGTTATCATACACCAGTAATTGCAAGGGATGCATTTTCTGCTCTTGGGCTGCACAAATGCACTCATGGAATGGGAAACTCATATGTGAAAGGCACATTCATGATAAACACAGATTTAACTTGGCTTCTTCCTCCTCATTAATGATTTAATTGAGCTGGTTTGGATTTAACATTAGGTACCACAGACACAATGATTTATTGAGATCTAAATTATTTTCACTTATTTTCAGGAGGCTGCTAAAAATGTCATTTTTTCTAAAGGAGGGAGAAATCATTAATAGACACAGTCAAGTAACTTCTGCAAACTCTGTCAGAGCTCTGTTTATCTGCAATATAGCTAGTTAGTGGCTGCAGGTATGGCATGTTTTGGTCACTGAGACACCATGTTACTGTTGTACATTATTATGAATGCATTATCTGCATGCACTGAAAACAGATTCAGACTGTCTAAATAATGACAACCCCAAGCCAGCAAATTTATTAAACTATTAAGTGGCAAATGCATTTTTCTGCATCCCAAAACTTTTCCTATTTGCCCTCCATGCTTTTGGGCCTAAATATAGCAAACTACTATTTATCAGGAAGCCAAAATTTATCCAAATAATCTTCTTCCTGCCTTCCTTCTCCCCATATTCTAGATGGATGTGCTGGATCACAATTCCACTTCAGTTAGTGAAGTGGATCTCCACTCTACATCTCAAAACTTACTATCAAAGCTCACATATTATTCTGGTTTTAACTGGTTTTAGCAGCTTATCATACAGGCTGATGCATCACATTATTTTATTTCAAGAATTTAATCAATTACATGTCTAAGACTCAAAAATCGCAAACAAACTAATTCACTTTAAGGCACCATGATCAGTTCTTGAGCAGACTTAAACTGAAGGTAAATAAATAACTGCTATATTAGCACAAATACAGTCACGTATGGTTTCAGGGTATGTACGTATATCACTGGGGACAAGGTAACAGAGCAGTATCAGGTGTCATTAAAGTCTATGTTCTTTAACAGAGATTCTACTCAGCACCAACCAGCTCTAAGCCACAGGTCTACTATGATTTTAGACAAAGTCCTGTGATTTTACAGATACAAAACTATTAGCTATGCATATTTGTGGACGTAAACTCATCTGTAAAACGAACTAGTCCCACTCCAATAGCTCAGAAGAGCTTCATATTTTCAAGCTTCTTTCCCTTTTTCAAGACAGATTGACACTCCTCACAGGGAAATCCTTAAAGACCTATCAAATTTTAATAAGAAAATTAGTATTCTGTTTTTTTGCTTTAATTCTTTTATAAAGCAAGGTCTTCTGGAGTCACAGTTACAGAAGATTTTAAGAAGTTCCACGATGGGGCATAATTAAATTATTGTGAGAGACATCATAATAGGAATCATACATTTCCAAACCAAACTTGTTACTCATAAACTCTCTGCTTTGATTTCCCACAGAATACAACAGTGAAGAGCAAGTGCAGTTTGCTCAGTAGCCTTCCAGCAGGTGAGAAGAAATGTCCAATCCTGTTTGTTTCAATGCCATACCTGCATTCACCTTTAATCAGCAGTGCTCAGGAACTCAAAAAAGCAGCACCCATCTTTTAGGATCACTCTGAATAAGAAGCAGTCACTACAAGAAGAAAAAATCCAGGCAGCCCTATGGCTCTTCAGACAGCAGGGCACAGTCCTGCTGGGTCACCGACCTGCACCAGAGTCAGCCTGGCAGCAGGAACACGCTGTGTTAAAGCACTCTTCTCTCCTGCACCTCCCTGCTGCTCTTCAGCCCTTTCCTCCATCACATAAAAGAGCTGCCTTTCTCACGATACAGCACAGGACAAAATCCCTCCCTCTCATCCCAATATGTATAGAAGCAACTACAGCCAGAACTATGCAGAAAATGTGTTCTCCAGGTACTTTTAAACTGCTGTTAAAAACAGGTTGGTAAAAAGCCAGGTCCCTCAGCAGGCAGAACAACACACCTATGTGTAACTCTAATTCCACAGTTCTGAACACAAGACACACACAGAGCTTTTTGAAAGGACTGACCATCCAACACATTTGTGTTCATCAAGTTATTCAGCAGAAGTATGGCATATATTCATACCTACCAAGGCAAATTATGTGAAATTTTTGGCTGACCAGCAAGCATCTCTGATTTAAGTGAAGACTATTGCAACAGCATGCAAAATACCAATATTGTCTTTTCCAATACAATCATACATTAAAGTCAATAAATCTTTTCAAAAAGCAGAGGATACTGAAGGAAACAGGAAAAAAATAGTTTTAAACGGGAAAAAACAAAGAGCTAATTTATTTTTCAAAATCTGCAGAAGTCAACGAAAGAAAGACCTGTCTGACCAAAATCGAAAACTTCAGAAGGGAAAACAGAAGTTGTACAAAAGTAATGTTGAGGTGGCAAAATATCAAGAGGCCTGTATTGTGTCCCCAAAAAGAGAAAGGTAGAAGCAGTTTTCACAACACAGATACAAGCAGAAAGCCTCATCTTTGGCCCACTACAAACACGCATGCTGGTATCAAGTTTACCTACCAGTCTGGTACTGTGTGCCAATCAGTGAATATTCCACCTGTACACTGAGCACCACATTCAATGAGATGACCTGCAAGACTGGGAAAATGGCATTAAAGCAACTAAGTATAACGCAAAATCAATTTTTACAAATCCAGCCTTAAATTACAATGGAAATAGAGCTAAATAACAAAACTTGCTATTTTCCTCCACAACTAATACAATTAGGAATTATACATTAAGCATAACAAGGGATCCTGAAAGATGAATAGAGTGTTTAAAGCACAAACTTTTACAAGAAGAATTTTCCTACAAAAAATGAATACCTAGAAGATTACCTCACACCTAAAACCAAGGTTTTCTTAGTCATTTCAAATCTTGATCTAAATTCGGTACCTTCATAGTCTGCGCTATGTGTAACAAAATAGTCAAAGATCATTTTTAAAAGAGACAAAAAAATCTCACCGCCATGTATTATGTATTCACCACAATGTATTATGATTATGTATTACTATTTTCAAATTTGGATTGCAATAGTCGATAAATATTCAACAGAATTATGGGGAAAATCTTCATCTCTATCATCCCCAAGTCGGTGGAGCCTGAATGAATTCCTCTCCACGTTTTTTGTCAAGCAGAAGTTCAAGAACACTGACACTAGGGTGTGCTCAGGCTATCTAAGTAATCACTCTTTTACAAGGACTTCAATTCACATACATGATGCACAATGTTAAATTAGGTGGCATAATTCCACCAGTTTCTCAATCAGATTCCTAACTTTAGGACTACAACAAGGACTTGTAAGTGGGAGCACTGACACTGAGCTTCAACAAAACCATACCAGGATGCTGCCTTCTGACCAAACCTGCTTTTGTGCATCATTCAGAGTAAGCCCTCCAACCACCCCAACTATCAACAGTGGCAGCCAAACAGGAGAACCTGGGAATCAGTGGCCTCCACTATAAAATTTCATCTCTTGACACAAAATGAACTGCAAGAGAAAATCAAGCTGTCAAATAATATCTCTTAACCCTTTCTTCCTTTTCTTATTTTAAGCTGGTTCCAGAATGAAGTTTCTATAATTTCAATTCCAAGAGAGAATAGCAAGTGAGCCTTGAAAAAGAACTCAAAACCTAACAAAAACATGCAAATAAATTAATGCAATGATAATATGAAAAATTAGCATGTGATGAAAAAGTTGATATCTTGACATTATGATATGAAATACAGATTTACCCCATTTCTTCTTATATCATTTACCTTCCTGCAGCTAGCAAGTCATAGTCATCCCTATTCCAGCCAAACTAGAAGAAAAACACAAATATTTTAAATACATAGAAGATTCATGCAGTACCAAAAACTGCATACAGTATGTTCGTTGCTTTGAAGAACAATGCAATGGATATATTTTAAATCTAAGTAACAATAATTGGCAGGTACTGTACATCAATTTGAGTTCTTATACAGAAAATGAGCAAAAAAAATCTGACACATTTCAGTTTTGCTACTATTGATACATCCCAACAAATTTAAACTCTGAAAGTCATACCCTCTTCAAAAAAACTGGAAGTGCAACACCCATATTACTTAAAACCGCACAACCTACAGGTTTAAAAGTATAGTACCTATCTTCTGTCACCTGGACAAACCACTATGTGTCCAGCTTTTGAAAATTATCAGCTCCTGGAATACTACCAGTCACCCTCAAAAAATGGAAGTATGCTTTCTGTTTAACTGGAAATTTTAGCTAGAATATTTTCCCTGAGTCCAACCTGCAAGCAATACAGTAATTGTCATTTATTTAGCACTTTGCAGAAATCTTCCTAAAACCTTTCCTAAATAAATTAGATAAGGTCTCTCTGGAGTAGGTAGTACACACTGACAGTTATTTTGAGAATGTAAACAACTAGGAATAAAATAATAAGTCATAATGGAAATTATAAATGGAAAATTAATTAGGCAATGTTTGACATGCATGAAATCAAAAGAGTATGATGTCTTAGAAAGTATATTTTTAACTACACACATACTCTCCTATTTTTAAATATGCACCAAAAGCAAGCTTCTGTATTTCACCATGTGTGATCCTTCACAAAAATTCATAAAATCCTATTAAAAACACTCCAGAAAACTACACACCATGCTTGCATAATTTTTTGAATTTCAAGGAATTTCAGAAATGCTGTATTGAAACTTGACTACTTTAAACAAAACTGCTTACCCACTGAACAAAAAACCCAGTGGTTTAAACTACCTCACACACTACCCCCTAACCAGAGTGAGCTCTACTATCGACAATTTGTGGTAAAGAAAAATATACTTGCACACCAAAATTTGCAGAAAGGCAAGGGGAAAAAACCCAAAACAGATAGTAAAGCAGCTGCTGAAAGAGGCTAAGACTTCCTAAATCACACCCATACTTTCCAGCTTAATGGCATACAAGTTAACAAATATGCCTGCTATCAATTTAGGAGAAGTGGAAGCTGACAACTTTTCATGCACATAAGAAATACAGATGCTCATTATTTTTAATTTAGTATCTACATTTTCATAAGGAACAAAAATTGTCTGACAACGACTGCTGAATATTCACTCACATATATTCCTTACCATTCAGAAATTAACTTGTACTTACAGAATGAATGAGTGGTCCTAATACAATCCCACTGTCAACACATCTGCCTGTCACAACAATATCAGCTCCAAGGTCTAGAGCTCTGCTTATTGGTCTTGCACTAAAAATGACAAAACACAGCAGCAAGGACTTTTGTGTTTCAGAGTATCATTTAAAAAACAGACTGATACACACAGACTAAAAAACACTTAAATTGCCTAGGAAATCAGTAAAATCTACTTTTAACAACCAACTTGTCGTTAGGTACGTACATCAAGAGTATTTTAAAGAGTAGCCATCAGGGCACTATCAAATTCAGGCACCTAGTCATCAGGGCACTAACAAATTCAGGCACCTAAATAACATAACTGAAACACTTCTCATAATGTCCATAGAAACTTTCTTGAACAAAGCACAGAGAGGGATGTCTATCATCAATTACAGAAAAGAGAGTTTTTCAGAGATTCATTAACCATTTAATTTTTAGATGCGTGCATAAAGATGAACATTCTTTAGGGATAAAGCCTGGTGACTTAGCCCTCCAATTTTAAACCTTTAGGTCAATTACCCAAGTGATTTAAGAACTCGCAATATTGTCCAACCTCAAGAGTGCTGTGCAAGAACAGGATCAACAGGATCATCAGCTGGAAGGGAGTATGTGACCATTGTGTCATTACTCACCCCTTCCCCATTATTAGACCTGATTAACATTTATTCATCTGAAGTGGATGGTGACAATGAAAACTCAACTTCACAAAGTGGTAGCTACAATACCTGCATTCACAGACTTATGGAAACCCTAAGTACGATAAAGGAGGAAACAGATCTTTCAAAACAAATAACCATCCTGAAAAACTGGTTTCCAAAATTTCAAAAGTACAAAGCCTGACACAGAGTTCAGAGCAAGGGAACCTCCGACAGCACTGACTACATCCCAGTACTTGAATTCCTTGTTTGCACTTCTCTAGTGACAACATAATAAACTACTCCATTTTGCAACAGAATACTCAGCATATGAAAAAGCATTTTTGCAGTTGTTGTGAGTGAACTAAAGCTGTTTTGGCTTGAACTAAAACCTGATGATTCACAGATGGTGTGCTGCTAAGGAGTCATAACTTACAAGGTTATAACTAAAACTTATCTACAAGTTACAAACAATTTTTTTTCTGGTTGCCTGAATAATTTAAAGATGAACCTCATATACTAAGTGGTTCTAACTGCAAGGTAAAACAAATTTGTTTCAATACATTACATTTAGTTGCTCATAATAAATATATTATGCTAAAATAACTCACCCAAGATACACATTCATGCTGTCAATATTCTCTGGAAATCGTTTGCCACTCTCTAAATCGGTGATACCAGCTCCTTTTAAGTTCTCTTTCTGTTAGAAAAGAAGCAGAACACGCAAGCATTGAGTATTTTGAAGTTTCTACTGTAAGCCTCTCATTAGTATCAAACAATAGAGCCACTTCATAGCAACTCTAAGCCAAGTATAATTATTAAAAGTATTAACAATACCAATCAGTTGAATGGCTAAAAGCCTTAGATATACTTTTAACCACAGCTTTTCCAGCACACAGAAAATTAAGGTAGTCTTTAAAGAATGTAATGTTCATTTAAGTACTACTAACAACAATTAACTGGTGTATTTCCTAGGTTTTAAATGGTCTTTAATTGCTAAATAGGACTAAATAAATCAAATCCTGTAAAGAAAAATGTATCTGCCACATCTGCAATGGTGTCATGGACAGAGAACAAGGTTAATCCTGGAGCTTCATACAGTACTTAGAATAAGTTGTATTTCCAGAAAAATGGGGGGGGGGGGGGAGGGTGTGTTTTTGAGCATGATTTAGGCATTAGCTTCGCAATCCAGTGGACTGAGGAGACAGTGACTGCACAATGTAAACTGTAAATACTAATTTACGGGTCCGATCTAAAGTGTGGGAAAAAAACAAACTTGCACTCTGAATTAATTTGGTGTTCTATACTAATGATTGAAATCCTCCAAACCACAAGTAACATTTACCATGTTTCATGTATTAACAGTTGAAGCTGTCTGTAGACCATAAAAGTTGTGTCTTTTTTTGTTCCTGTAAGTTATGTACCAGCAACAGCATAGAAGACAATGCATTTCAGAGCAGACATGCCCACAACAAGCTCAAATAACTATTTCACTGTTGTACCACTAATGAAATTCTGGCCCACACACAGTAATCTCAGTACAGCAGAAGTTTCTTAAAAGGAATCCAAGCACCACATGTAACTTGCAAATAAAGAATCTTACTTGACGATCTTCCACATTCAAGACATGCAAGGGGTAACAGATCCTATGCAGATAAATAATTTTCCAAGTTACAGGCAGAGATTTAGCCACAGTGCAAACCTCTCCTCTGTTAAATACTATTATGTATAAACACTTTTCCCAGTAGCTTTTCAAGTATGGCCAACATCTTTTGCAGATTTCAGAGATAAAGTGTCATTCTTTAAGTAAAAAAATCCCAGGTATTTAATCTTTCAATTTGTTTTAAATATTTGAATTTCAGTCCTCTCACTTAACATTACCTTACCAGCTGTAAATTAATTACTCAAAACGAAAAAACAGCTATCTATAAACAAAGTAACATCAGGAAATGCCCGTAAACCACTAAAAAAGCTAGAAAGGATAAAAATTTGAATGTGTAGCAGCTACACCATATTCAGAAGAATTAACAGGCATGATTATCTAGTTTAGACAGAAGCAGTAAGTAACAGCATGTAATAGCTTCTCCTGAAGAGCAGGCAGACCTTACAGCACATTCCCATTTTGCTTCAAAATCTAAACAGAAGATCCACAAGCTTATAGAATTCACCCTCACTATATACCAAACAGCAGCTATGCCAAGAATTATATTTATGCATTAAAAAAACCTAGAAGATAATGAAGAACAATGCTTCTGATGGTGGAGGACTACTGCAAAAAGACACACAAGGTTCCTATGGGACAGTAAATGCCACCTTCATGCTATACAGACTTGTGCTACTAAGGCTCAAAACAAAATGAAATACCTCACTCATCAGATCATCTCCAGCAACAACAGCTATTTTCAAATCAACATCTGCTTTCTTTGCCACCTCCTGAAGGGCAGCTGCACAAGCAAGTGGGTTAATTCCACCAGCATTACTGATGACACGAACACCTGATAGAAAAAAAAAAGGCAAATAAAGTTCAGTAGCAACAATAATCAATCACCTGTACTTTAAAAAGTGTGCTGAAACACAAGCAAGGTACCACCTTCACAAGGTAACAGACATTCAATCAAGCAAAATACAAAAATCACACTAAAATAGGCACCACATTTAACCTGTAAAAGGATCAAAATAAGCCAGTACAGAAAAATAACTGCTATAGATACTTCTCATCTATCCTTTATGAATGGAAGGAGTAAGTGACCAGAAAGACACACATAACCAGGCAGACCGCATCAAACACCTCTGACAGGAACAGTAATAGACACTGTGAAGCTTCACTAATGTGAACAAAAAAAAAAAGTGGAAAATCACATTTGTAGAACTATGTGAGAATTTTGAAAAACTTAAATGACCTTGAAAACATCTAGATTTCACATTTTAAAAAATATCTGTAAAGCAATCTGCCATTCACAAACTGAACCTATAGTAAGAAATACACGGAAATATACGCATGTATTTACAATTGCAACAAATACCTTAAATCAACTCAATTTCACCATCAGACCTGTACCCCACATCAATTACAATGGGATTTTCCATAGAATTCTAGAATAGTTTGGATTAAAAAGACCTTAGAGATCACCTAGTTCCAAATCCCCAGTTATAGGCAAGGTTATTCAGGGCTCCATACATCCTGGCCTTGAACACTTCTAGAGATGGGGCCAGCTTCTCTGGACAACCTGCTCCAGTGACTCACAGTAAAGAACTTCTTCCTAGCATCCAATCTAAATCTACCCCAGCTTATGGCCATTCCCCCTTCTTCTATCACTACATATCCCTGTAAAAAGTCCAATTCTCTTGCAAGCTCCCTTTAGGTACTGCAAGGTGCTGTAAGATCTTCCCAGAGCCTTCTCTTCTCCAGACAGAACAGTCCCAACTCTGTCAGCCTACTTTCATAAGCAGGTGAACGGCATTAACATACAAACCCATGCAAAGAATAACATACCTTTCCTGTGAATATCTTTTATATAGGGAGCCATGGCAGTGGAGACAAAATCCGGAGTGTAACCTAAGAGCTAAAATAATTAAGAGCTGTAACCATTTCTTATAGGTAGGTTAACCCAACCCCTTCTCCTTGGTTAACACAAAAAACAAGAGAAGAGCAGCTACCTGTCAAATAAAACCATCGTTTGGGTAACACGATGAGAAACCACATGAACACTTTCAACTAGATGAAACTGAATAGATGCAAATAAATGCATGCGAATTAAAAGTATACTTAAGGAACCGCATCCCCGTAACCAGGTAAGTCTTACGGAGGCTTGGGCTAAAGGAGAGCCTGGTCGGCGCACCCGCCCCGGCCAAGCCCAGCACGCCGGGGCCGGACACCGGCTCTACTTACGGGAGACCGGGCCTTGGCGGCCGTCAGCAGCGACATGGTGATCTCGGAGAGGTAATCGAAAACAAGGAAATCCAGCTTCCCTCCGTAGAGCAGCTGCGGCACTGGCGGGGCAGGCAAGGCGGCACCGTCAGCACGGGGCACCCCGCCCGCCCCCACCCGCGGTGCGGCCCCGCCCGGGCGGCCCCGGCCCGGCCCGGCCCGGCCCGGCCGCTGGCGCAGCGGGGCTGTCCGTGGCGCTGGGGCCGCCGCCGCCCGCCGGGCTCGCCCGGTCCCGCCGCCCGGTCCCGCCGCCCGGCCGGGTGTCCCCCCCCCCCGCCGGAGCAGCCGCCGCCCCACCGCCCACCTGCGGCCGCCGTGTCCCCCCAGAAGCCCGAGGCGCAGCCGATGCGCACCGCGGCGCCCGCCGGGGGCTCGCAGCCCGCGCTGCGGCGGCGGCGGCCCCAGCGCGGCGGGCGGGCGGCCGGCCCCAGCAGCCGCGGGCCCCGCAGCGCTGCGCGGCTCATGGTGGCGGCGGCAGCGGCACCGCCCCGGCTGCGGCCGCCTCACACAGGGCCGGGGAGGAGCTGGGGCCTGCGGAGGCGATTGGGAAAAGGGGCGGGAGAAAGTTTATAAACCCCGGGTGCGCGGGAGAGCGCTGAGAGCTGTGCGGGCGTACAGCGCCTGGCAACTTTGGGGCAGTGATGGGTCCAGCCCGAGGCGTGTCCGGACGGGGCCTCTTGGCTCGGGCTGTGCCCGGCCCCGTGCTGGACACGGGTCGGTGGCGGGGCTGTCGCATCCCCGAGGAGCTGCGGGCTCGGCGAGCGCAGCCGTGCCGCCCCGAAGCGTGCGGCGGTGTGTCGGGCAAAGCCCCGACAGTGGGAACCCCGCCCCGAGGCTCGGCTGGCGTCGGAAGCGTGCCGGATAGTCCCGTCATGGAATCCTGATGAAACCTTCTCCTCCTCGCTAAGTACAAAATGTGCTTATTCAAGAATAAGACTTTCTGTGTGGGCGTGCACGTCTCTGCTCTGACAGAAAGCGTTTCTCAGGTCCTGGACTGAATTTCTAGTCTGTGGACGAGAGGAAAGTGTCACCAAGCCAGGAAATTCCCTCCTATATAAGGAGGAACGATTTCCTAGTCCTGGCATTTGAGCTGGAGAGCTGTCTCTGGGTATCTCCGCAGAGATATCACACACAGGCTAATGGTGTACAGGTGCTCCAGAGTGAATTCCCCGTGTCTGACATCAACCAGGGCTATGCCTGAACCAGAGTCTTATTCTGACACAACAACAGCAGCTTGGCCTTCCTAAACAAGTACACTTCTATTCCAAGTGGGTTTGAATTATATTTTGCAAATGATACATAATAAAAGTGTGAGTCTTTGCAAGTGTGATGTAAAATAAAACGCTTGGTGTAACACTGACAGTGCTAAGTACATGGTGATGATGAGATGGGGTTTTACTGATGTAAAAAGTAACCATGTTGAAAATAAATAAGTACTTTTGGAAATTGTTGATAAGACTTCTAGTTAGACTATTTTCAAATCGTGATTATGCAGTTGAGAGAAGATAGGAAATAATCATGCTGTGATCTCAGAATTTGGTTCCTTATTTAGAAAGATACAATGTTTTCCTATGGTAAAGAAGGGCTATAAAGCACCATTTTATGTTCTCAGTGCCAGAGTGATGAACAATTCCTGTCCTAATCTATTAAAGAGGCAGAACTAAGGAGGTCATAAAGAAAGAAAATTTGGTTCCCTATACAGATTTTTATTATTATGCTATGAAAGTATTTCATTATTATGTTGAAAATTTGCAGGTTTGGTGTCCCTATAAACTAGCAAACATGCAAATAATCACAGTAGGGGAGAAAACTACCAGGACTCCAGAGAGTTTCGTCCTAAATATATATTTATTGTAGCTCCTTAAAGTCAACTTTGAAGCAAGAATCAGAAAGAACACTGTCTGGTACAAAATACATGGCTATCTGTATAGACATAAAGACAGATGCTTTCTGTAAATAAACTTTGAAGTGTCTTCCACGTGTGTTTTGATACAGAATGCATTGCAGTCACATGCCAACGTATTGCAGCATGGCTAATCCTCTGCAAGTCATGCAACCCTCTCAAATCCTGGGGTGAAATTCAAGTGTGGTTCACCTTGGCTGGGACACTTTTACCACAGTGCTGCAGTCCTCCATCCTGAGCTTGAACACATCCAGAATAAATGCCACTCACTGATAAACAGAATCATTGATAACCCATGGATGTAAGTCAAAGTTCCACTGGAATGGGTTGGGCCAGGTTTTCGTGCTGCAAAACTGAACTCCTGGGTGTGAGAAGAGCGAGCTGCTGGGCCCAGGGGACCGGTAGGTGGCTGTGTCTCACCACTGTCCGCACCCTCCTCGCCTGCAAAACATTTATCTCTGGCCCCAAAACCGGCCACCTGCTCCCACCAGCATCCTCTGTGCGTTTGTCTCTCCAGATTAACCAGGCATTTTATCTACATTAAGAAATAAATATTCACATGCAGATGTGTACGTTGGTGAAACCATCTTGAAATCTAGAAGATGCTTTATTCTTTTAACTTCTCTCAGGTATTTTCATAGCATGGATTTTAACAGTCACTGCTCATGGTTCAGGGGAATGACTGGATCTTGCTTTGTCAGAAACTATGTCAAAGTCCTTGTGGAACCTTAAACACAATTTTAGCAAATTTGTAGATGAATGTTGATGTCTTTGTGAGACAATTAATATCCAACATGTATTTAATATTAAGACACACCTATTAGTTGATCTCCCAAAAACTCACGGAAAGGATTTAGAATAGTTTCCATTATTTGCAATGGTGTAGTGAAGTGATCAAGGGATCAAAGCCTGTATTCTGTTGGTTCTCACAGCGAATGTGTTTCTTACCCAATTTGTACTTGTCCATAAATAAGTAGACTATTTAATAAGCTTATTGAGATTCCAGCAAAGTCATCAATGTTTCTGAGAGTAATTTAGTCACTACCTCTATCATGTCCATTTCACAAATTATTTTATTAAAATATACTGAATTTTCATTATCCTGAGCAGTAATGATTAGCTCGGAGCCCATTATTTCATACAAGAAGTTAGGATTGTTTTTAATGAAAACACAGGCAAATTATATAGTAGTTCTTTTCCAGGTAGGCTTGGAAAGCAATGCTCTGCAATGGTTAAGTCTTAAGTTGGAGATTTTTTTAAAGATAATATAAGAGATTTTAGGAACAGTTTATTGCTCTTTGAGGACGTCAGATGGCACTGTGTGGTTGTCAGTGAAGCCCAGAAGAAACCAGAATGACTAACAAGCCTGTGTGGAATTCATAGACAGGGGGTGCTAGTAAAGACTTGATTGCATTTGTGACCTGTGTAGGGGATATGTGTCAACAGTAAAAGCTGTCACAACTCACTCATGTATAGGAACCCATTGCTTAATGTAAAATTTTTAAGAATAAGCCAGAATTCCTCTCAAAATTTGTGAGAAGAAAGCGGGGGAAATAGAAATATTCTGGCTTTATTTTTTTATGCCAGAGAAAGAAAAAGACTACAAATTTAAAAAAAAAAAAAAAAAAAAAAAAAAAAGAAGAGAAAACTTTTTTCTGGTTTTTTTTTTTCATGGTTTACATGTAGATAAATCTGAGCTTCTTTTTCCTTCAGTGATCCTAAATACTTATATTTACATTTAATCAGCTAGTGTTATTAATGCTTCAAACTTAAGCCTGTGCTTCTCTTCCTGTAAAGAGATTCACGCACCAGCATGGAGCTCAGATAATGTGTAAAAGCACTGTGGAATTCATTCTTCTACTTCCGTCATTCTGAATTAATGGTATTCAAGCCTTATCCTGGAAGCCAGGGAGGACAACACAGAGTACATTTTTTCCAAAACAAATACAGTTTCTGCTATATTTCTAGGATATTTCCGACAGTCAGGCTTCCTCTGATTGCATAAAAAAGTACAATCAAAGTATTTAACTGGCCAGAGGTTTCTTGTGAAAAAATCACATTTTTGCTTTATTTATTTCCTTTGCTTTATGTATTTCCTTTAATGTTATTGTCAATAAATTCCTGTTCAAACCAATAATATCAGCCTATATGTTCGATTATTGAAGTAGGCTCTGTTTAGTTTATTGTGGCTCTGTCCTCTCAACTAATTACAAAATACTCAGCAAATATTTGAATTTACTACTTATCTCATTCCCCCAAACTAGTGCATCTCTTTGTTTAACAAATAAGTTCACTGTTCTTGCCCTCAAGGTAAAGTATACACTGCAATCTCTCTTCTGCAGAGAGTCTGAATACCAACCTTTTCTAAGCGAATCAACAGTTGAAAATTGTTTCTGTAGATCAGTAAAGAAAGAGAATTTACTGCGTTGCATTGAATACCCCTAAATAAGGTACAAACAACTCAAAGCTCAATAATGATGTTTCACTGAACATGGTTTAGGGCTTTGTAGTAGATTTTTAGAATTTCAAGGTATAACGTCCTGTACTACAGGACTGAGAAAAACCTCAGCTATGACAAAACAACATAATGAGTTATCTTCTGAAACATCTTGACTTCATTCCTTTACATCACATTCCTTTTTTCAGATATAAGATCACTCTTAATACCTTAAGATTTGAAAGAAGTTTAAATAAAATCTTTAATGCATCAAGTTAAGTAAGCAGAACTAAGTAATCAGAAACACAATACAATTTTTCAAAAATAAGATAATAGCTCATTCAAAGCATCAAATATCTGGCTTCTGGATATGAGGTGTCTTGATGAATAAGTGTCTTGATTTTTGGCCCTTTAATTTTAATAAAGTTATTTAAATTTGTTTGTAGTGATAGTTTAAATCAAAATAAGAACTATGTATTAAAGCAATAACCCTTGGTTATTCTTTGCAAAAAACAAAGCATCTTTTATGTTATTAAAAGTGCTGACATGAACCATCATGAAGCAATGTAACTTCCATGTTTTGATTTAAGTAAATACATCAGCATATAAGTATTAAAGAATGCACTCTAAAGTGTATATTCCCAGTGTGGAGGCAGCAAAATACCCCATTTTTTTTTTCTTAATTTCATAATTTCTTTTCAAAAGGAAAGGTTCTGGCTGACATGAAGTGCCTGCAATTTTTACTGTTCTTCACTTAATTTTCAAAGAAACAACTGTTTCCAGCCAGTATTTGAGCTGAAGCACAGCAAGTACCTGTACTGGTGTCACAAGTGTAAAGAAATCAAAGGCTCTCCCTTGCACAGCAACTGATATTTGTTGACTCATTTCACTTGAGGAAGAAATGTGCTGCACAGAATGGACTATGTAATTGGAAAAAAAAAAAAAAATGTTGTTATTTACCGTTCTCCCTTATTTTGAAAATTGAAAGAGAAAGATAAGTTACAAAACTTTTTTTTTTCATTTTCACTTCAGTGCATTTGGCTTTCTCACCCACTGCCAGCATGGCTTCACTACTAGACAGCTTTTTAATTGTCTCTATTTCTCAGCCTAATTATCACACTTATTGATTGAACTAGAAA